GACCTACAAGCCCTCCAGATCTTCGTTTACTTATTGGATTAATGTCGTTATTATGGTGGTTTTTACGGGTGTTGGCTTGTTGGGTTCCTTTTCTTCAGTTAGAAAGTTAGTTCTTGATGCTAGTAAGTTCAAGATTTTTAGTGACGATGTCGTGGATTGAAGAATAGATGATGTAGATTAGATGTGTTTAATACTTGAATGTAAAAAATTAAAAGCCGTCATTTGTTTACAAACTCTTATTTCATATAAACAGAGGAAACTGTAATCAAACATATTGGTACATGAAGACGAGTGAAGATTTTAAAGCCTATTGCTGACTTTAAAGATATGTAATCACTGTTTTGAAAACCGGACCGGCAACAAGTCCTGTTCAATTAGCCTCAAAAACCATCTGTTTTGGGAACCGGAAGATTTAATCAAAAACCAGTGAAAACCATTTTGGTTGGACCGGTCTAAATGTACAACACACAATAATAAAAGCCGAATTCAGTCACTGTGAGCCAATTTGATTATGTAATTAGCCTATTCGAATACAAATTGTCGTGAGCACCAGGATATTAAATAATGGAAGAAGACTTCCACACTTCCTATAGCTCGTCGATGTGGGATAGCTTTCAATCATTCATTCTTTTTTATGTTCTATTCATTTTGTTGAAATAAAACCTGTTATAGTTATTTTTAAAACATTGTACGTAATTTAATGAGTATCATAAAGTTAATTGTTTTCAATCATTCAGACATGCATGCGTTGAATGAAAGGACAACTACTAATGATGGTACATGAATGATGTGGTGAAATATGGTTTACACATTGAAATATCATTCTTGTGGCTATATTTTATTTTTGAAAAATCATTGATTTGATCATTTTCATGTTATTGCATTCATCATTTTCGTTATTAGGGTGTGTTTGGTTAAAAAAATGATTTCTTATTAGAATGCCTTGGGTACAAAGAAATCGAAGCAGGAATATTCATAATAATCAATTTTATTATTTGGTACAAAAGAGAATTCATTAGGTAAATATACCTAAAGAACTATTACAACTAAAGAACTATTACAACAGTCGACTTTAAAATAAAAAATATTTCTATATGCAACAATAATAACACTTATATTCTTTCCCCTTATAATGTCATTGAACTTTATTTTTCTTTCTAATGATACATCATTGAACTTCAAATTAAAAAAAAAATAATATTAAATATTGATGGTTAAGAAAATGAGCTCCAATTGTTAAAGAAACATAACTTCATTGCATGGAATAAGTGTCATACCCTTCATCATTCTATCAACAAATTTCAAAGATGGAAAGTGTAATGAAATAGTTGATGTTAATATATATTTTGTAACCATGGTGCAAAAAAAGGGAATTAATGAAACATCATCAACCAAAAGTTACCAAAAATCAAAATCCATTCTAGATTGTAAACAAGAATAGATGGAAGGCGAAAGTATTTTATTGATTGTCTTTTTTATAAGGAAGCGATACAAGACTATAAATAGAGGTAAGATCCCTACACAAAGGAAGCAATATAGGCCCATGGGTTAACTAGGCCAAAACCAATATATGTAATATTTACATTCTTACACTCATATATGTTAATCATGCCCAGCTTGTTACAAATAACAGAGATCCGGAACCAGGTAAAGTTTTGGTGAAGACATCAACTAGTTGACTTCTTGTTCGAACATGACGAGTAGAGATGGTTCCATCTTCTAGCTTTTCACGTGTGAAATGGTAGTTTCCTTCAATATGTTTAGTCCTTTCGTGAAACACATGATTGTTTGTAATATGGATAGTCGCCTCATTATCACAATACAAGTTCATTGGTTTCGATTAAGCAAAACCAAGTTCATCCAACAGATTTCGTACTCATATCAGCTCGCATGTAGTCTAAGCCATAGCTCGGTATTCAGATTCAACACTTGATCATGAAACAACATTATGTTTCTTAATTTTCCATGAAACTAGATTCCCTCCAACAAACACACAATAATCTGTAGTAGACCGCCTCGTTGTAGGATCCATATTGTAGTCGATATCAAGGAACCCTTCAATGACATGATGATCATGATTTTGATATAAGATGCCATGACCAGAAGCACCCTTTATGCACTTCAGAACATGAGTAACTACATCCCAGTGAGTGGTTCATGGAGATGACATAAACTGACTTACAACACTCATTGAAAAAGCAATGTCTGGACATGTAATCGTCAAGTGGTTTAATTTTCCTACAATTATTTGTATTTCTCTAGGTTCTCAAGTGGATCTCCTTCGTTTGCTTTCAATTTCATATTTAGAACCAATGGAGACTCGAAAGATTTTGTTTCAATCATCCCAAAATCCTTCAAAATATCCAAGTAATATTTCCGCTCAGACAAACAAATCTTTTTCAAGTACGAGAGACTTCAATTCCCAAAAAATATTTTAAAAGACCTAGGTCTTTTGTTTGAAACCGAGATGTGAGGAAATCTTTCAGCTTCTTGATCCAAATTTCATCACTCCTATTAATCAAAATGTCATAAACATATACCACTAACAAAATGCATCCAGAAGATGATGAAGTAAAGAAGACAAAATGATCATAAGATATTGTTAGTAAGCCAAGCTGTGTCACCACATCACTAAACCGTACAAGCCAGGCCCGAGGGGACTGCTTTAAACCATATAGTGATTTACATAATTTACAAACTCTTCCATACTCCCCTAAGCAACAAACCCAGGTGGTTACTCCATATAAACTTCTTCATGTAAATCACCATGAAAGAAGACATTCTTCACATCCAGTTGATGAAGGGCCCAATCATAAGTAGCAGCTAATGATATGAATAACTGGATGGAAGATAGCTTAGCTATAGGAGAAAATGTCTCAGAGTAGTCTACCCTGTAAGTCCGAGCATATCCTTTAGCAACCAAGTGTGCCTTTACACGAGCTACATATTTGTCTAGATTAACTTTCACGGTGAATACCCATTTGCAACCTATTGCCTTTTTACTCTTAGGTAAGTCTAATAAGTCCCATGTATTATTATAATCGAGAGCATTGATCTCATCAATCATAACATCTGGCCATCCATAATGGTTCAAATCTTCACCAACCGTAATCGCATGTGAAGTTGAAGATAGTTTACGATAAGAAAAAAGAGTGGATATAGGGTAAGTACGTGAACGTTTCCTTTTCCTTAATGCAATAGGGACATCAAGGTTAGGATCCTGCGTATCGAACGATGGTGGATCACTCGTATCATCAGTATTTGGATCTGTAAGTGAAGATGGTATCGTATTAGGAGCTGATATAGGTTGTCATTGCCTACTATAAACATGGATTATTGGCGGTCTTGCAGGCTCTGATGGTTGCTTAGAGTTGGATGGCATGGGAGACTCTACAGTCGAGTCAAAAACAGGTATAATGTACACCAACAAATCATCATTGTCTACTGGATCACAGGTGCTGGTCATCGCAAAAAATGGTACTTTATATAGAAAACTAACATCTCATGAAATGATATAGCGATTGAGTGTAGATAAATACAAACATAAAGTTGCTAACGATATTAACTATGGAGCATATAAAAAAAATGAACAGTAACGTCATAAAATTAAAAAAAAATAAAAAAATTAAAAAAAATTAAAAAAACATTAATGCTTCAATTCACAAATAAGAAAAAAAACAATTTTGACATGGTTTAGCGAATTTAAGTTTATTTACTTTATTCAAAATAAATAAAAATATAACAAAAAACCATACATAAATAAAACTATAAAATAAAAATAGAAAACAATATTTCAAAAAGATAAAAAAAATATCAAATTGTTGAAATTATATATATATATATTGCATTTTGTATATATATAAATTATAAATACAAATTATATATATATATATATATATATATATATATATATATATATATATATATATATATATAATTTCATATTTAGAAAATTACACGAATGGTCATTGAGGTTTGTAGTGTATTGCAATATTGGTACAAGGACAAAATGGTTACTTTCATTAAAGCTAACAGCTGAAAAGTTAGATTTAACGGCAGGAGGATGTTTCATGTAATTTTACAAACCACAGGGACCAGTCACGTGACTTTTTGCTAGGAAGTCCTCAAAGTGCGATATTCTGTAAACCACAAGGACCAATTGTAAAATTTTGTCTAAAGATAATAAATGTTCCTAAAGTTATTTATTATAAAAAAAGATTAACAGGTGTTAATAGAAAATCAAGCACGAAAATAATATAAATAAGTATTTCAACATGATTAACTCAAAGATATTAGTTATTAAATATTCATTTTAAAAGAAGTATTCAAGTCAATTATAAAGTTAAGACTATTCTAAGTAAAAAAAAGGTTTATGAAAAGATGAACATTAATATTGAAAAATATATACGGATTCAAATAATTTGTCACTCTATGTTTATTGCACAAAACGTTCTTTTAATGTTTATATTTATAGGAAATGTTTTTTTTATCAAAAATCTATTAATGTCAATTACAAAATTTTAAAAGACAAAACTTCAAAAATGGTCTCTATGGTTTCCAAAAATATTAAGTTTAGTCTCGAAGTTCAAAAAACCTCACAGATGGTCCCTGTGGTTTCAAAACTTTTAACAAATGGTCATTTTCGCTAATTCCGTTAGCTTTTGACCGTTAAGTGAAGGGCATTTTGGTCTTTTCACTATTACAGAGACCAATTTTGAAGTTTTTCCCTTATTTAGAAAAAGAAAAAAATTATTATTTAATATAGAAAAAGTCTCTCTCTCTCTCTCTCTCTCTCTCTCTCTCTCTCTCTCTCTCTCCATTCGCATCTTCACTTGCTTCCTCGAACAATCAAAATCCAATTCCTTAAACAACTCATTCCACTCTTAGATACCCACAAAAATCACTTCTTCAATGATTATCATCAAAGATTTTAGTTTTTCGATCAAGAACTGAAAGGAGGAATCAGAGCCCTCAAATAGGGTGAAGTTTCCTCTTGAAAAATGCTTAGTATCTTCAACAAAAACCTCCAGCAACTCGGCTCAAAGTTCCGATGGCTGGTGCACCGCCGTTCAAAACTGAAAGTCATTATCAAAAGGTTCGGGAAATTGAATTCCATAACTCAAGATATATCAAACACAAATGGGTCAGCCGCAATTCATCCAAATAATCATTTGGGGAAATCAGAAACCCCAATCCGAATCGCAACTTTTAATGCCGCTTTGTTCTCCATGGCACCAGCAGTTCCAGAGTTGACTGAAAAAGCTTCAAGCTTTGACTATGGCGAAGACGAACAAGATTACAGTAGTAAGGTACCATCAAATTGCTCTGTTTCTTACACCAATTCAATATCAAAATCAATGATTGATCGTCCCAAAAGTATATTAAAGCAATCACCATTGCATTAAAGCAGCTCCATGAGCAGTTCAGAAACTGTATCAAAATAACAGAAATTCGCAAAATCAAAGTTAAGAGTTTCAATCAATTTACCCGACAACGAGATCTCACTGAAGCGAAGTAGGCAGTTAAGCTTCGCCAAAGACGAAACGGAAGAAGGCCCTAGTTCAAAAACTATTAATTCGTAGGGTATAAGTAGGATTTTGAAAGGGAAAGATGTTTTAAGATCACAAAACAATTTTTCTTCAAAAGAATCAGAAAATCAAAGAGGGAAAGGTTATAGGTCAACGAAAAAAATTGTTCTTGAAGTTTTGAAAGAATTGGATGCAGATATATTAGCTTTACAGGATGTTAAAGCAGAAGAAGAGAGAGAGAGAGAGAGAGAGAGAGAGAGAGAGGAGAGAAAGATACGTTTTCTATATTAAATAATATATATATATTTAAATAAGGGCAAAACTTCAAAAATGGTCCCTGTAATAGTGAAAAGACAGAAATGTCTTTCACTTAACGGTCAAAAGCTAACGGAGTTAGCGAAAATGACCATTTGTTAAAAGTTTTGAAACCACAAGGACCATATGTGAGGTTTTTTGAACTTAGGGACTAAACTTGATATTTTTGAAAACCACAGAGACCATTTTTGAAGTTTTGTCTTTTTAAAATAAAAAGTATTTATATATTTTGAAGATCATTTGTTGCTGCGTAATACATAAATTCCATACTAAACATTTTGGTCCTTAACTTATATTTATGTACAATTCGAAGTCAATATTTTGATTTTTGTAATAGTTATGGAAAACACGCAATTCTCACACAAAATAATATTTAACTTTTAACCCAAAAATAGCAACATATTTTTATTTATTTGTGTATTATATCATGACATACAACAAAAACTAAAACATTGCAATAGGAATATGTGAAAATATGACGCTATAATAAACCAATCAATTAGAGTATGATGTTATTTTTTGAATTTAATTTTTTCAGAGAAAGAGACAAATGCAAAAAAATAGCAACTTACTTTGTGTATTACAACATCCACTGTATAAGTACACTATGAAAGTCTAACAATTTAACATTGAATCATGGAAGCTCATATGTTGTAGTTCCTATGTATTTTGTTGGTACTTTTGTCTACAAATTGTATATAATTCAAAAAAATTGAAAGAGAAGAAAATACATAAGAGAAACGACAAAACCAATTTTTCACAGAATAAAATATTTACTTATATAATGTAGATTACCAAACAGTAGTCAATAGATTGAATAAAGTCTCGAACCACCCACTTCCTGGTCTTTGAATAGACAGAATCACAAACAAATGCACATAACTTCTAGCACATTCTAATACGTAAATACAAAATAACCAAATGTATAATATATAAATCATAGATTCATGTTGGATTTATCAAAAAACACACATACCACACACACAAATACAAATTAGAAGAGAAACATTTATAATTATATAGGGTCTAATACAATTGTAATCAGTGACATAGAACATCGATTCAATCAATCAAGAATATTTCGAAAAACGATAAGGTATATGCAAAAATACAAGATATCAAAACCTTATTTCATAGCTAAAAATAAATTAGATTGATAAACAAACCACATATTAAATATCCGAGATAATGAATGATTAAGCTATGAGAGAACACAAATAGTATTGGACCAATCACACAACCTTCAAGACTTACAATTAATTACCCCCCCCCCCCCCAAGAAAAAAAATAAAAAACTCAAAACAGAAAATAACTATAAAAAACCCCCAAATAGCAACAAAACAGACGATTCAAGGGTTTATAAAATACGTTTTAGGTGATCAGTTACTGTTCATGTAAATATATACATACACATTGACTGTTGTGCTTGAAAAATATCCAACATATTGGGAGTTTTGAGGTATAGCACCAAATCCTTTTCCAGCAACCAATAACACAACTAAAAGTCATAATAATTATATATTTAATTTTTAGTTAGTGGTTTGGAAAGCACTTAGATAAACGAATAAAAACATTTAGATAAAAGAAATCAATCAAACACCCAAATTGTAAATAGTCCTACTAAGAAATAAGCCTTGGTATGTGTTTTGAAAAAAATACACCCTTTGGCCTAAATTCAGTTACCTTATAATAAACACATATTATACCTTTTCAACTGCTTTAACCACAATCAAATCCATAACATAGCCTCTAGTCGATGTTCTTTCCACATCCCATAAACACACACATACACATACACACATAAAAAACAGTTAAAAAAATCAAAGAAAACTTGCAAGCTCAAAATTTAGCCACTACAAAGTTCATACATTATATATATATATATATATATATATATATATATATATATATATATATATATATATATATATGTGTGTGTGTGTGTGACATCCCCAAAATCACGGCCAGAAAAGACCGATTTCATTTATGCTTTTTGAAATAATTTCAGAGTAAATCCTTTAGATTTAAAAGAGTTGCAGAATTTGTTCCCAAAACAAAATATGATAAAATAATATTTATCAAAGCATTTCATCAAGAGATACATTTTCATTGTAAAATCAAAACTCGGGATGTCATGTTCCGATACAGACCATAAAGCATAAACGATAACATTACAAGTCATTCAACAAATATATACATATACAGACTTGTAAACAAAACAACTTGATGATTCATCCATCTTATGCCCTCGCACCACTTCCTGTAATGCAAATAAGACTGAATGGGTCAGGCTTGGGATCCTGATGAGCATATAGGGTTTTCAACCCACAATAAATAAATTATATTTAATTTCACCAACCAATAATAACCCGATTACCCATTCCCGTTATTCTCACTTTACGTCCCTAAAATAACATCTATCTCAAGGGACCTAATCTAGGATTTTCATTGGGATGGACATTACTGCTAAGGGGTTTCCTCAACAATAGATATCCTAAAGGCAACCATGAGGGGGATAGAGTACACCGGTGAACACATCGTTCACAACACCTACATGTTATGAACCTTTAAAGTATATACTCTTGGTCAGAGTGTTTTAATCCCAATGTATTTATAGTTAGTATATCTTTTATGGGTTGATATACTATATTCACTATAAACAATGCTCTGATACCAATCTGTCACACCCCAAAACCGGAACGACGGAAATGTTCTGGGGCGGAGGACGTCATGTAATGTATCATAACAATGCAAAGTAGTAAACAAACAACAACATCATCCATTGCATTAATAGTATAATTTTAATTACAAGTGTTCTTTCATAGTATAAGACAACATAATGAACAATCAAAATAAAATAGGAGTCTTGATTTCTCCGACTTCACAAAAACCGGTCGTCGTACCTGTCTATTTGTGACATGAGAATACAAGTATTTTGAAAGCGAGTATCAGCAATAAAGATGGTGAATTCATAAGTATTAATGTGTCTTAGATTTGTAAAACTGGAAAGTAAACACTTGTGAACATTTGGAAAAAGTTTGTATAAGTATGAACTGTTTGAAAGTAGTTGAAAACGTTTGAATACCCTAGCAAATCCCTATGATTTCTATTAGTATAAAGAGTAGTCTTCTACCAAAACTAGATTGTTTTGAAAGTAACAAAGCTGGGTTTTCCCTTGTATGACTACTATTAACAATATATATAGTCTACCTCGTCGTTTATGTGAATGTATCACAAAATAAAAGTAATAGGAAAATATAGCCATGTAAGTGTTATCCTTTTGTATTAGGATCAACCCGACATCGCGACTGCCGAAATAGTATTAACCTTGAACGTTCGTAGATGATCATTGTCCTCTGTAGCTAACAGCAGGTTGTAGGAATGGTTAGTCCCGTAAAGGTACCCTAGTATAAGTATTAACCGTAGGCATCCGTAGATGTTCATTACCTCTGTTGCTAACAGCTGGGTGCCGGAATGGTTAGTCTCGTCTAGTAAGTAAGTAGTCTTCTCACGAGACCCGCTGTAAGTAATAATATGATTGGTAGTCCCTATTCTACATTTGGAACTAAAGGTGACTTTCGCAATGAATCGCTAGGCCGAAATCCATATTAATTACCAAATCATATATAAGCCCAAACTACACCTATAATAGTTTACTAAGGATATATGAACGTATACCTTTGCTACCCAAAGGTACCGAACTGACTGATCAAAACTATTATGTCCGTATATGTACACATAATATATAACTATATATTTAAACGACATTTGGATGGATACCCGATACCCTACCAGACCACATCCCAACGAGGAAAAGGAAATAAAGCGGGTTAGCCTTCCTAAGTCCTTTAAACATTACTTATATAACTATACATATACAAGCATGCTTTTAACAAGGTATCTATGTAAAGGTATCATGTAAGTGTATCCAAGTAAGTGCATCCAAGTAAACCTATCTCTTCCTATAGCATTTAGTATAGACTCATGTATGAACTGACTTTGGTGTAATTCCTTGTAATAGGAATAGCAAGTAGTATCTCCTAACTATACCTATAATAGTTACTAGTAATGTACAAGTATCAATGAAGGTATACCTTTGCTAGCCAAAGGTACTGAAACTGAGTGAAGGCACTTTTATGTCTACATATGTATACATGATATATAACGAATATTTAGACGACATTCGGACGGATAACCGATACCCCATAGCCACATCCCAACAAGGAAAAGGAAATAGAGTGAGTTAGCCTTCCTAAGTCCTTTAAACATTACTTATATAACTATACATATATGGGCATGCATTTGATAATATAAAAGCATAAAAGGAGTTTTGTAAAACCTTTGAAAAAGATTAATATCTAAGAAAAGATCGACTTGGTGTCAGTTTATAAAACGATTTGAAAGTATTTTGTTTGAATAAACAGTTGAAGTATAAAGAAAACCTTTGTTTGAAATACCTTTGTAACAGATTTTGAAAAGAAACATACAGTGTATAAAGCAGTTTGATAAAGAGTTTTAATCATATAAAAACGTTTATGAAAGTCATTTGAAGAAATCTGTTTGGTAAAACAGCTAACGTATAGTAAATCCATTTGCATGTTAGTTATTAATCACATGTGATTGATATAATAACTAGCATGATTCAACTTGTATTCCCCCCATAAAGCATTTAAAA